AATCTACTTCAGAACATGACAAGAACAAGAATGTAAAAAAATAATAAAGGCAGGGAAAAAAATTGGAGAACAAACACAATCAACAAACCCATTTAAAAAGTCAGTATTTGGACGCGAAAATTGTCCTATTTTTCTTATATTCTATGACTATATTTTTATTATACATCAATACAAATAAGTCAGATGATTTGCAAACCAAATAAAATTGTGAGGAGAGGCAAAAAATCAAACAATTTCTCCAAATGAATCTGGTTTAGAACAAATCATCAATAATGAAAAAAGGGACAATAACTGAAGTATAGTTTTTTTAATTTATATATTTAACCATATTTACAACAATGATGAAAAGGTATTGGATCGACCCACGGCATAAAGATGATGTATATGAAGATCATAAAGAGTCATAGAGTATAAATGAGAATTGTCTATTATGTGTGGTGAATAGTGACCGTTAGTCGATAATTATTCAGAAATCGTGAAATGCGATCTGGTGTGATGTAGGTTTCAGAAAAACATTTTCTCTATCGTGCCCACGTTTCGACCTTTATTGAGATCATCTTCAGGGCCTGGGATTTACAAACATTGTTTAAATTTAACAAAAACATGTAGGATGTGGAAAATTATTATTAAAAATGGAATTTATACAATGCAAAATATATTTTTTATATTCAATTTTTATTTCTACGTAGTATTTCTACTCACTCAAAGTGTTTGTCTTCTGTGTAATTGTGCCATTCTTGTGATTAAATAATGTTTGTAATGTAATGCCAGTCCCTGAAGATGATCTCAATAAAGATCGAAACGTCGCACGATAAAGAAAATGTTTTTTCGAAACCTACATCACACCAGACCGCATCTCACGATTTCTGAATAATTATTGTCTATTATTTTGATCCCCTTCAAATCATATTTCGAACAGATTTATAAAATTTGTTCAAAATAAGCCTTTAAAAAATCTAGATTTTAAACCAATATTGTATTTATTTCCTTAAGTGTATGAATTTTAAGACTTTTCGCTTTTTGACTTTATTCTGTAAATGATATTTTGTTCAAGCGTCAAAAACATATTGTTTTTTAAATGCTTGTACGTATTTTTGCCAACAAATGCTCATATCTTTCCCAAATGGAGGCAATCTTTGGATTAGAGTATGTAATAGGCGTTGTATTCATTCGTGATTATATTTTATGGCTGATCAATAATAAAATCGCTAGATGTGTCACTGGACCAAATGAATCAAATTCAGAATTACAATGTCCAGACATTAACAAAAATGATTATTTCATTCCTTAGTCAACTGTCAGCCTACATCCAAAAAATATAAAATTAACGTGATATTCATAAATTGTTTCATTGGCCAAACAACTTCGAATTAGACTCGAAAAGTCGAGGAGAAACAACAACGTCATGAAATGAACATCTAAAATAAAATCTAACATCTGAAATATTAAAAATAAAAAACTTATCTCTTAACTAATATCTAGGGGATATTTTGAAATTATTCTTCTCGCCATGTTTTGTATTCATTTGGTGAAATTGAATTTGAGACACTACCAACTATTTTCTTTCATTGACGAGCCTTCGGTTATGCTTTTATTATTGAAGAGTCATAAAACATAGTCATCGTTGAACAGCTGGTTTTATCAAATTGTCTAAAATTATTGGAAAATAGTTGAATCAATTAGAGCTGAAAAACTCTTCTAGATTGATCCAGTTTTTTTCCCATTGTGGTTTTCGCCATGTTCTCAACATTTGGTGAAATTGATTCTGTGGCACTAACAACGATTTTATTTCGTTGACGAGTCATTGTATTAACGACATTATTGAAGTCATAAAGTACACTCATGATTGAACGACTGCATTGATCAAATAGTCTAAAATTTTGTTGGAAGATTGCTGATACAATTCGGGAAGAGAAAACTCTTCTTGATCCATTTTTTCACTTAATGGATCTCGCCATGTTCTCGATTGAATTCATTTTGGTGAAATTCATAAAATACACTCATGATTGAACGACTGCATTGATCAAATAGTCTAAAATTTTGTTGGAAGATTGCTGATACAATTGGGGCAGAGAAAACTCTTCTTGATCCATTTTTTCATTTAATGGATCTCACCATGTTCTCGACTGGATTCATTTTGGTGAAATTGATTCTGTGGCACTAACAACAATTTTATTTCGTTGACGAGTCATTGTGCGTAACGACATTATTGAAGAGTCATAAAGTACACTCATGATTGAACGACTGCATTGATCAAATAGTCTAAAATTTTGTAGGAAGATTGCTGACACAATTGGGGCAGAGAAAACTCTTCTTGATCCATTTTTTCACTTAATGGATCTCGCCATGTTCTCGATTGGATTCATTTTGGTGAAATTGATTCTGTGGCACTAACAACGATTTTATTTCGTTGACGAGGCATCCTGCTTACTTCTATTTCTCAAGAGTCGTAAAATACAGTCATGCTTGAATAATGAGTCAGTCATGATCAAATGATATAAATTATAATGGAAGATTGCTGAATCAATTTAGAAAAACTTTTCTTTTCTAAGGTAAAAAAACTCTTCTTTTCTATCTTGATCAAGATTTTTCACATAATCATTCTAGCCATGTCTGAACTGGATTCATTAGGTAATTCTAACTACCAACGATTTTATTTCGTTGACGAGACATCCTGCTTACTTCTATTTCTGAAGAGTCATAAAATGCAGTCATGCTTGAATGACTGTTTTTATCAAATGATCTAAATTTTATTGGAAGATGGCTGAATCAATTTAGAAAAACTTTTCTTTTCTATCTTGATCAAGATTTTTCACATAATCATTCTCGCCAAGTTCTCCTCTGGATTCATTGGGTGAAACTGATTCTGTGACACTACCTACGATTTTATTTCGTTAAATGATTTGAAGAGTCATAAAACGCATTGTTGAGCACCTGTTTCTTATTAAATCCTCCCTATTCTTATGGAAATATTGTATAATCTATTAACGTATAATAATTAAACCATTTTTTTGTCTATTTTTACTATTTTTTCACGTTATTCTGCTTATCGTATTCTCTAGATTCTTCTGATAAAATTATCTTGACCTGTGACACAACTCACGATTTCATTTCTTCGACGAGTCATCTAACTTTTTATCGATGAGTCATAAAATATAGTCACGGTTGAATACAACGCATTTTAGGTCTAATTTAAAGATTGTTGGTCTGATTAAGAAAAAATAAATAAACCTGACTTATTATCTTGACAATGTTAAATTTACGTGGACTTTGATTTGCCGGTTCTCCTCGAGCTTTCACCTCAATGAACGTTTTCCTTTTAGAAAATAACGCATCTCTTTAAGATCAATCGAATCTTCTCAAGTGGAATAACCGCACAATTTGACCAATCAATAACCAATACGTCCTCTGAATTTCACCTTTGGGTTAAACAATCATTAAAACTAGGAGACCTTCATCACCAATTCGCCCTCAATAGAATCCTTGATAGTTTCAAAAGAAAAGCGTGGATTGATTAGTTAAATAAAATCAAAATTAGAAGCAAAAGCTCATTTCAGAAAAAAACGCACAATTTATGATCCAACATGTACCTAATCAAAAATTTAATATTTCCCTTGTTAGTCGTAAAGGTTTTTTTTTCGTATAACATCATAAAATTATTTAATAACATTTCGTAGTCTGAAAAAATGGTCAATTTTTATCTTTTTTTTAATCTAAAAACTGAATAATTCAATATCTGGAATGAATAACGCCTAAATTATTTTTGTAATGATATCACGATTATTTTTGTTCGTTGTTCCCACAGATTTTATTGTTTTCCGTTCAAATTCCTTCTCCTGTGTTATTTACACAACTGGAGATAAAAGGAGATTATTTACGTTAAAGTTGATGAATTTCAAAAAATTTACTTGACGAATGAGTATAAAAACTGAGTATAAATGAGTATAAACTTAGCAGTTGATGTGACCCACCGCGATGAGTAATTGTTTATATGTATGATTTATTCATGCACAACAGAAGATTGAAAATAAATCAATTTTGAGAGTATTCAGAAAAAATCTGATATTGAACATTTTTTCGACCGATTAAACCCAAATATAATTTTTCTAATTATTCAGAAATCGTGAGATGCGGTCTGGTGTGATGTAGGTTTCAGAAAAACATTTTCTTTATCGTGCCAACGTTTCGATCTTTATTGAGATCATCTTCAGGGCTCAAAGTGTTTGTTTTGTGTAATTATGCCATTCTTGCGTGTCGTGTTGAGAGACTCTTAAAGAATGGCACAATTACACAGAAGACAAACACTTTGAGCCCTGAAGATGATGTCAATAAAGATCGAAACGTTCGCACGATAAAGAAAATGTTTTTCTGAAATCTACATCAAACCAGACCGCATCTCACGATTTCTGAATAATTATCGATTAACGGTCACTATTCACCACACATATAATTTTTCTATTTTTATTTAGATATAAAGTATAATTTAAAGGCAAAATTTTGATTAAAAAAATAAACAGTTGTGTGTTAATAAAAATAAATGGTATAAATTTCGACATTTACCTGTTGGAAAGTCAACATCCAGTTATAAAAAAATTTCCGCTCGGTTATGAAGTTATCAAGGCTGTAAAAATTCTTATGATTCACCCCGATTAAGCAGATAAATCCTTGCTAAACGGGCTTTCTTTAAGCAAGAAAATCTTTTGAAAACTTTCTGTTTTCATTCAAATGCGATCTGTGATGTGAATTATAATGAAGTGTGAGTTGAATTCCAATTTTTGATCCATTTTGCAACGCAGGTGAAAAATGTTACGCAATTCTTTTTAATATTCCATGCGAGCTTAATTTATAAATGAAATACCATGCAAAGTTCGTGTTTTATTTATATTTTTTTAGTTAATAACATGATCCAAAGAGCTAAGACTTTTTTATGGATGAATCCGCTTGGTGTCATCCAAAGGAGGCGTGTCCTAAGTCGTACAAGAATTTTTAAAAAAACTTACTTGATGCTGGGCAAAAGCGCTGGTCGCTAAGACGAAAAGCAGCATTAAAGAATACATGTTTGGAAAATTCCTTCTTTTTTTTCTGAATTGACTTGTTTCTCTGTGATGATGGCCGAGTACTGATGCCAAGGACTAAGGAGGGACTACCGAGCGGGCGTTTGAACTACCTTTCCTTTTGGAATCCCCACCCTTGCTTGATTGCTGCACGGACTCCACCAACGGCCGACTCTGCCCTCCTACACCCGTCTTAAAACAAAAAAAGGACATATGCATCCAATTCATTTGCATAAAAAGCTGAAACGAGCGTAAAACTACTATGTAAAAACATATTAAAGCATAGCCCACCCACTTCTAGCTTTTCTTTTAAGACTGCGTTCATTGCATGAAAGAGAATTTTCATCTCCTTTTTTATTTGTAGGAATATTTTTACCATCCCTAACCATTTTTCCAGCATATTCTAATTCGATTACTTCATATTTCCAATTAATAATTGTACAGAAATATAAGAGTTAAAAAGCATACTAATTTCACTTCCAATAAAATTTTATAATTTAAGCTATTTTGACTGTCATCTAGTCCAGCCTACATGCAGCTTTAAGCTGCTGACATCTGAACCATGGCACACTGAACCCAATCATCTGAGACAGATCCATTTACCAACACAGCCTCTTCTATTCACAAATTGTTTGTAAGCTTGAAATTTATTGGATTAAAATGCAGTCAAAAGTTTGTTGATATTTGCCTTAGATGCAGAACAGAGAGAGAGAGAGTGGAAACCAAAAGGACAACGATACATTACTCAGAAGAGCAAGAACAAGAGTGCCTCTTCGGTCCATGAACTATCACCTTCGAGACAATGAGGATATCATGGGACCGGTGATATCGAAGATATAGATGACAACAGCAGTGATGTGAAGAGGAGGATGGAAAGATGCTTGTTGGTGCCAAGCGCATGGCGGGGCTAAAAGGCCCTGAACTTTCATGATTGAACGGTTGAATTTAGATATAAGCAGTATAATTTGCTACAATAATTGAACAAATTCAGCCATTACTTTCTCATTTCTATTATACTTAATTTAGAGGGAAAAAAACGCAGTAGTGGATTGAATTTTATAAATATTATTTGATAAGACCAGTATCCTTTAGGAATTTAAATACTTTTTAAGTTTCATTTATTCATGTGAAGAAACAGTGAAAAATAATTTTGCTGTGGGATTTCTTGTAGAGAACTGAAATGTGATAGCCTGGTCTACTCCTTCTTAGTTAATTTGTTCTGTCAGACATGTTCAACATTTTGCCATCATCAATAGTGGATTTGTCCCATCGCTTAGAGTGTCTGACACGCCAAACCAGCAATGATGCAGGATGATCAGTATGACCAAACTATAGTATATTTTGCAAAACGATAATAATAATAAAGTAGTTCCCATCATCTATTGTCAATATAAGTCTGGCTTTTCAACACATTTTTAATATATGATTTTTTTTTGTGATTTAAAGCTTCTCTTATACACTGCAATAAAACCAGATCTATTTCAGTTTCTGAATTTAGAATACTTTTGTGTTCATTCCTTGAAAAGTGAAGTATCCTAGAAAAATTTGAACTCTTTTCTAAGTACTTCATCTTAACCACTCACTATTAACACAATGTTATTACCAATCCTGGGGACTCTGGTGCAAAGAGTTTAAGACGCAGCACTCATATTTTCTACACTAGTTCTGGGTTTAAATCCAAATACAACTAACAGTCCAACCCAATGAGTACAGGCTGACTAAAACGATCAGTGACGAACAAATTTCAGATTCATAACCCCAGACTGTTTTGTGCTTAGCTCTATGGGCCATGAAGACCCTTGGCTTCCCTGACAGGCTACCACATTGCTTTATTATTTGCTTCTGTAGTCCACTCCTGACTCCTAACATTCTGAGCTCCTACTCGAAATCACCAACCCACCTGAGCCTCAGTCTTTCTCTAATATGCCTTCCCACTGATGTCCATCTTCTGGACTTTATTAGTGACTGAATTTTTATAATGCTCCCGTCAGTTCTGCATTTGTTTTTTATCCATTCGTTTTCTATAATGACCGATCTCCACCTCATAACTTTTTGAGGTCCTCCTTGACATCCACATCACTTCCTTCCTCTTTAACATCATAGTTAAGGAAGTCTATGCTAAAGACATTTTAGCATATATTACAATATATTATATTGTATAAAAGCAATAATAATGATATTACTATTATTATTACTATAATAAAATTATATACAATGCAATGGTTTTTTGGGGTAGGCAATTTTATATTTAATCAAATTAAGGTAAATAAAATTAGGTCAATTTCTCTGGTAATTTGAAGGCTCTTAGTTACAAATAATACAAAGGAACTCCTTTTATTATTATTATTTTTTTTAATGAGGGTATTTCAACTACAGGGTTATATAAACTCTTGGGGTACCCGTGTTATAATAAATAGATACAGTAATACGTAGGAATAGCAGCAATAAAAAATTGATTATTATTATTATTTCTTTTAATGAGAGTATTTCAGCTATGGGGTTAATAAACTCTTGGGGTATCGGTGTTATACATAGGAATAATAGCAATAAATATTTCACATTTTATTATTATTATTATTATTTTCACTAGTTTTTGTGGTCCGCTTGACCAATATATCTTTCAATCTTTATCTCAACTAAAAACCTTAATTAATTAAAAATTATTTTTTTTGTTATTTATTTATTTTTAATTTTTTTATATATTTTTTTTTAATGAGGGTATTTCGGATTTTGTTTTAGTTTCCTTTCAGGGAGTACTGTTTTCCTTTTTTAACCATTATTATCACTGGTTTTGATCTTTAATTTAAAGAACGTTTATAGTTTTATTTTATTCCACTATACGGATTATATTGCTATTCTCCTAATCTCGCAGAATCTGATGGAAGTCACAGATTCAACCTTTGTTCCGGAGCCGCCTGATAAGGACGACTTCTTTTCGGTCAGATGTAGTAAATGGTGTAGAAAATACATCTTGATGTCTCTGACCCCTGCCTCAGGAAAAACCTTCAATGATTATAGTCCTTTTCGAGTCTGTAAATTTATAAAGGGTTACTGCCCGCAAATCTCTCTCAAATTTCTCAAAAATGGTTCAGTCCTATTAGACGTAAAACAAGAAAAAGATTTCCTCAATTTGAAGTATGCTTCCACTTTCGAAAACATCTCTATTAAATATGAATTGCATAAGTCACTAAATTACTCAAAGGGGGTAATAACTGTTGGAGAACTTTTACGGTGCAGCGAAAGCGAAATTGAAGATGAACTTAAGTCGCAGGGAATATCTAGAGTGAAACGTATTTTCAAAATGGTGAACGGTGTCAAAACTCCAACTCCCACCTTAATACTCACATTTGAAAAACCCGAACTACCTGAAAAAGTATCGTTTGATTTTTTGAACGTAAGAGTCCGACCATTTGATCCTAATCCAATATTATGTTTTGCGTGTTATCGCTATCGGCACACGCAAGCCTCTTGTCAAAACAGGGTCTGCAGCAAATGCGGGGAATCCACCCACACAATTACGGAATGTACTAACGAGCCGAAATGTGTGAACTGTGGTGATGCACACCCATCTTTCAGTCGACAGTGCTCGGTTTACATCAAAGAAAAGGAAATTGAAAAAATAAGAAGCAGAGAAAAAGTTTCCTATAAACAGGCGGAATATATTTTCAGAAGACTGAATGTAAATGCATCCACTCCTGGACAAAAGTCTTACTCCCAAACTGTATCCTCAAACTTGCCCCAACCCTCCATCCCGTCCACCTCTTCCTCATCAATTACTATCCCATCCCCAACTGTTAATATCCCCGCTGAGAACCTTCCTTCAATATTTGGAATATTAACCAATGGAATAAACAAGCTACATAATGCTGTTGAATTCTTAATTAGAAAAATTAATGACATTGAAAACAGCAGACCATCACTTTCAACGGACACGAAAACTTCAACCCAGTTAGGAAGTAGCTCTTGTGAACCACTTATCATTAATATGAAAACAACTAAAAAACAAACTGGAAATATCGGTCCTACGTCTCATAAAAGGCCCTTTTCGGGTAACCAGAGTAGCCAGGGATCGCAATCATCAACTGTGTCCTTGGATAGGATATCACCCACAGCAACAATTACTCAATCAAGTAGAAAAAAAATAAAATAGGATATATAGGATGCATAGAAAATAATAGGATAAACATAAGTAATTACACAATCAATTTATTCTCCAAGCCAAAAAAACAATACACTTATAATGAAAATACTACAGTGGAATTTAAACGGCCTGAACCATCATCGAGACGAAATTAACTATCTAATTTCAACCTTACAACTAGATATTTTATGCTTACAGGAAACCCATTTAACATCAAAGGAACAATTAAAATTTAGAAATTTCTCTGCAATACGGAAAGACTTTTTGCATGGACGAATTGCATGTGGTGGTGTTTGCATTTTAGTCAAGGATGACATTCCTTATCAAGTTATCAATATAAATAGTAACTTGCAATTAGTTGCAATAAATATATTAACCCCGCCACGGTTTACGATTGTCTCCTTATATCTGACCCCTGGTGTGCCTTTCTCCCAAAATGACCTTACCTCTATATATGATCAGTCACCACACCCCATTATAATCCTAGGTGATTTCAACGCCCATAGTCCGATATGGGGTGGGGATAGACGGAATAACTCAGGGAAAATAATTGAATCTGTCATGGAACATTGCAATCTCAACATCTTAAACGATGGCTCTGCCACCTATGTTTGCCCTCGATCCGGAAAACTCTCTACTATAGATTTAACACTAATTAGCCCCTCCCTACACCCTGAGTTTCTTTGGCACACTCTAGATGATTTACACGGTAGTGATCATTTTCCGATATTGATTACCTGCACTTCTCATAACAACCCAGCCAGTGGACCTCCGAGGTGGCAAATTCAGAAGGCTGACTGGTTGATGTTCCAGGAAGAAGTGAACCTTGGGCTGCTAAATCTCACTGATAATAACTTAGATAGGTTGCTTGCAACTCTTAATGAACTTCTACTAGAAGCAGCTTCTAAAGCAATACCACGGTCTTGTCCTACACAAGGAAAACGTAAAAAAGTCCCTTGGTGGAATAAAGAAAGCGAACAGGCAAT